CCCCAAAACCCCAAAACCCCATGATAAAAATATTCATAAAATGAGATGATTTTGAATTTATTTCTAATTTAAATCTAACATATATAAAATGGGTCAACTGCTCACAATTATATACCTGTCGACTATATTTGCCTCGATCTTCTTGCTGGCTTATGCCATGTGGCGAATTATTTGGTTCAGGAACTATGGAGGTAATTTCAATTAATGCTTGATCTTATATATTCTTGTAGTTGAGATTCCAATCGATAGGAACTTCAATATTCAGACTATAAATCAAAGAAAACTATTCTATAAGACCAAGACTTATCATATTTTTGTCAATTTCATTTCAAACATCATAAAGAAACTAGATATGGACTATTGGGTCTTGCATACAGGGACCGATGGGTACCTATATTTGCTATTCCAAAGGAGATTCTTGAAATTACTTATATACTTCTCAATTATCTCTTTGTTAGTTTCTGTCCCCGCTAATTTCACAACTGATTCATCAATTGAAGATTGGTTCGATAGAACAACCTTGAACAACAAAGAATTAGGAAGCTTCAGAGGATGGGTACATGTTATTCTAGTTTTGGTTTTTACCCTATTAACAATCAGAGCAGTTTAAAAGACTAGGAGAGATGCAAGGATAGCTTACCAGTTTTATCATCGAGAAATGAGTAAGAATCATGATCATGAGTGGCTTAAGGCGAGAACTGTGCACATTAAAGGTATTCCTCCTGAAGATAGATCAGGCAATATTCTTAGACAGACACTTGAGAGAGTGATTGCCCCAACAGGTGGATAGGTATTAGGTGTTTTGCTGGTGCCTGATTTCGTGAACTAACTTGTCATTGAAGGCAAGATCAAGGATCTTAAAGACTTGTAAATGTTGATAGATGCCTCAGGAGAAGGCAGAGACTAGTACTTCAATTGTTGTATTCCTGAGAGATACAAGAATGAGAGGTCATTCCAGTAAAAACTTGATAAATTAGACATGAAGATGCAAGAGGAATCGCTTAAGCCCTTCAAACCTTCTGGTCATGCCTTTGTTTGCTTCGATTCTATAAAATCAGTTAATGAGGTTATCTAGCATTTCAGCCTTGGCCCAACTTAATACCTAAAATTACTCTATCTACAAGTTAGAGATAAAATCAGGATGTATCTTTAACAATAATCAAGAGATAGAGTGTAGTCAACATTCATTAAATTTGAGGAACTTGATGCCTAAGCTTAGCAATAAGGTACGGGTGACCAGGTACTCTTGATGAATTTAGCCAGTGATCCTATTGATATACTATGGAGGAATATTGGTGGCACAAGCAGAGGTGTGTTCATATTTAGAAGGTTGTTCTTGCATGCCATTGGCATCATAATTGTGTTATTCATATCTACTCCTACAGCTATGCTTTCAACTCTTCAGAAAGTTGACATTTTCGGCATTTTCAATTTCACCTGGGCTGAAAATCTCCCTCAGGGCTCCTTTTTGAAATCTCACTTACCTCCTCTAGTAATACTAGGAATCAATTAAATCTTATTACTGCTAATCGATCTAACCTCGGTTGTTGAAAAGCACGAAACTCATTCACTATATTAGAGAGCTATCTACACAAAATCAGTCATTTATCTTAATTTAAACATGCTTATAATCCCTGCTATGACATTGACAAACTCAGAGCCGTTCTTTAACATTATCTTTAACAAGTAATTCGACATTACCCAAATTTTAGGCAATTTCTACATTGCCAACTCAGGTATTTTCTTCGTGTCTATTTGTATCCAATAAGCTTGCCTATCTTCAGCTTTTTACTTGATGAATATGCCAGATATATTTTTGTCTTATTTTTCACCATGGTTAGCTCTAGAAAAGCGCAAATTGTTCAATGACTCAGAGCCTTGGAGAAGAAAGGAAAGCTTTTGCTTCCAATATGGATTCTTTTATGCATAGCAAATGACTGTATTTGCTATAGCATTAATTTTCAGTTCTACAGTGCCTCTGGTTACTTTTGCTGCTGCTATATTCTTTGGTCTGAGACATTATGTAGATTGCTTGTAGCTGCTTACATATTTCCGCAAAGAGATCGACTCTGGTGGAAAGTTGATATCAATTGTTACTAATTCTGCTTTACTTTTTGTTATACTTTACTAGCTTAGTATGATGGCTTTCTTTACTATAAAAAAGAAGGATAGCGAAGCCATGGTTGTATGTATAATCATAGTAGTGAGTATTATCTTTACTGTTATCAGCTATGAGGAAGTTTATGATTTGACTAAGATTGAATCTGAGAATGATTAATATAGAGTATTCAATGAAGAGGCTTTTATCAAATGGAAGTAAGTCGATTGAATATTAATTATAATGTGAATATAGATCTGAATATGAGCATCCTTTGGTTATCGGAAATGTGAAGAGGAAAGCTAGAACCTTAGGTGTTGAAATCAAGACTGTAAATGATTGGGAGTAATTTATGGAAGATGAACATGTTCAGGGCATGTTGTTCTCACCTGGTGAGAGATATAGAAAGAGTGGGTTTTTCCAAATGAGTGATGACTTGGAGAAAGATGCTTAACAAATACAGGCTGAGCTTAATAGTAGGCTAAATCAGAGCTAAAATCCTCAACAATACCAATAAAATCTATAGCAGTAGTAGTAGCACAACAGAAATGGAAGTCAGAGTAATTTTAACAATGCCAATACTAATGTGAACACTCAAGCAATTAATTAAAATCAAAATGCTAATCAAAATGAATATAATAAACAACCCAAATAACAGAGGAAAAACTATGCGCTAGCTAGTTGACCTGAATTAGGCTATAATACATGTTAGTAATTAGTAATACAATTTTAAATGACTCTTTTTTAAAGATCTCTATTAATTTACAAACCTTTAAATTGAATGTTCAAGTGAGGGGTTTTGGGGTTTTGGGGTTTTGGGGAGATCGGAAGAGCACA